CCCCCCCCCCCCCCCCCCCCCCCCAGCATGCTCTCGCACACGGAGGCCACAAAGAATCAGTTCTAGAAAGCCGAAGCAGGCCGAGAGGCGCCGAGGGGTGCCGAGAGGCCGAACGCACAAGGAGCAAAGGCTTCTGGGAGTGGAGAGCGGTGTTACCGTTTAATGCTGTTATCACAGGCTGTATATAGCTGGAGGTCAAGCACGACTTTACCCTGCAAGGAGGATTATGGTACTTAGCTGATTACTGGCTGCATGGCGGTTATTGCTTAGCAATCGTACGGCCCGGGAACTACTCCTCCGAAGCGCAAGACTGGATTTCAGCATAATCATCTTCCTCTTTGCCCCGGCAAACTCCAGGAACAAAGCGGGAACAATATCCCAGTCAAATAAACCTCTCTCATAATGATGTATCAGCATGTATAAGTTGGCTGTCTCAGCATGTGTGCAGTGAATGCATGAGTGTGGGGGTGCATTTCCCTGAGCTCTGAGCGCATGTGGGCGATCGAGCATGTGTGTGTTCACAAATATTCATAGATCCAGTGTGTGTGTGTGTGTTGAGGTGTGTGTGCCCGGTCTCTTTCTCAAGCGAACAGATTAGCTGTGGGCCTTGCGGGCACATGTGTGTATATGCATCTGTGTGAGAGTGACAACACAGCGCCACCTAAAGTCAGTGCTGCATATATTACATGTTAGCTGATTGGTGGTAATCAAAAGGTGTACCACAACTATATACAAATATCATTTTATGTTGAATTTAGTTTCATGTTGGTATTTTAACGGCCCATGCAAATATCTACAAAACAGGGTCAAGTATAATACTTGACTCACAAACAAACTGGAAATAAGGGGTGCATGATTTGGGGGGAAATCGAATTGTTCTTTTTCTGAGAAAATGTGATAAAAAAATTCCAGGGTTGCTGTGATTGTTTGTAGGCATGCACAATTTCACCAAAATTCTGTGTAAATTTTTGCTATAAAATACTACCTCAACTACCACTACTACTATCACCACAAATAAATATTAATAAAATAATTACTAATAATACTAATATTAATAATAATTATTATATAACAACAATGATAGTATAATTATTAAATAACAGTATTTAATAATTAACAGTAAAATGACTAAATAAATTTAAAATAATTACTAAAATACGATTAAAATATTTAACTGTAAAATACAAAAATCAAGTATTTATGGCTGTCTTAATTACTTCATTTTCAAACGTTAAACCACTTAACTTTTATTTTGATGGGAAACGTCAAAATAAAGTTCTCCTTTGTTCATAAGCACTTCTCATCACAAGTATGTTTGGCACTTTTGTTCCCAAATGAATATTAAAGCGACCCAAATTCAGTGCAGATGCAATGAGCTGCTCATGTGTAAATAAATGCAGTGCCGCGCTTCATTCTGAAACACAACGCATATATTAATTTAATTAAATCACAGC